CAGTTCTCAAGTCTTGGTTAATTTCGAAACTTTTTAGCTAGTTGTAGTCCCATTGAGTCATTTTTTGCCAGATATTGTTTCACCAGTTGAAAAGGTCGAGCTGCTCATTGTCGCCTTTGTTCACCCATTTGGGTAAATGGTGTAGGAGGTAGCAATCAGGTTATTTTGTCTGTCTCACTTCACTCCCCCCTCCTCCCCAATTTATTTCTCCTTTTTTTTGACATGCAACTTCATAAACTGTATCCTCCTCATAACTCTTCTTCTGTGTATCCAATCGCCTTGTGTCAATCACCTCCTTCATCTTCAAAGATCCTTTATTCCAGGTATGTGGATAGGGCCACTTCGTTCTACCTACCTACTTCGTTTTGGAATTGTTCATCTCTTCTGTTAATTCTTAACACATAACTGTTATCGCCGAAATACTCTTGATGTCAGAAGCCTCAAACTAATATTTTCTCAAGGAACATTAATAATCGTAGAATCGAAGTAAACTTAATAAAATAATACAGTATGATGCAACATTCTTTCTGCCACCTGATACACTTTGCATCTATGCATTCTTTAAAAGGGTGTTGGAGGAGCTGTACACGATGCGATCTTTGGAAGACCAGTGCTCTCCCTCCCTGGCCGACATTGCGATCAAAAGCATTCTTGATACAAATCCAGTCCTGAAATTTGCTATGACTGGATTCCTAGGTAAGTACAACTTCCACATCTTCTTTGTTTTCCTCTTACATCTACGGTCCTATCATCTATACAGGATGTAGTTTGGCATAAGTATAAAAAGTCTTGGAAGTTGAGAAGCCCTTTCAAACAGTTATTTGCTCAATAGATGTCTCGGATACCACTGGGGATGTATTCTACGATGTGGGACCCCTCAAAGCGTCTGACCGATTGAAAAGCCTCCAGTGCTATGCGAAAGAACCAGTGAATGAAGGCAGACCCATCTGGCTGTTAAACATAACCGAGGTGTAAGTCTCACCTGCACTAGACAGCACTTTCTCGACTAAAGCAGTAATGTAAGCATTTTTTCTAGTTGGACGGAAGAGCCTAGCGGTTACATTTTGCCCTATGACCCGGAGCTGAGAAAAGTAATTGAAGTGTGTGTTGCCAAGATCAAAGAAAGCACAAACTCATATGAGAATGTACAGACTTTAGCCATGTAAGCGAAAAAACCACTTTTCCATTTATTTAAACACGGAATATCAGAAGTTGACCTCGCTGTTGCTATTGTGAAACATTAAAACGCAGGTGGGACAAGAACAAAAATATTGTTTTGCTGCGTAGGTCCCACGACACATTGCTTTGCACATCATTGTAAAAATGTCTTTTCCCTAAGATAGCGTAAACATATGTATTCACAAAGAGATTTTTTGTAAAAATGAAACTAATGAGGTATCTCATCACAACGTAAACTATTAGAGAAGCCTTATTGGCTATTCGAACCACAAAGAGGAGTGCCGAACATGTTGCATAAGGAGGGAAAGTGCTCCTCTATGGCACATTTTAAAAGATTTTCTCTTCCAAACGCAATATCCGTGCATGGTCACCTCCAAAACTCAATCTGCAAAGCGCGTTGGAAGAACTCGAAAGTGGTAGAGTTTGCATAAAGTTCAAAGGGTATTGATGAGGATAAAAAGACACTTTAGAAATTTACTGGTAAGGAGCATATTAATTCTGATAGTAGAAATAAATTGCTCGCAATCTCTACACAAGGGAAGCTGTCAATTTTCTCGGAGGTCCAATGCTTAGGGAAGATGCCTACAGTTCCATCGACTGGCAGGAAGTTTCCAAATATCGCTGTCGTTACAATACAAATATTGTTCCTCTTGGCCTCCCCACTCGAGCAGGATATCGCCACAGAGCATTGCTATTTAAGGTAGACAATGCCTTTCTTTCATAAACGGTTCCGAACCTGCTTTATTCTGCTTTGTAGTTCCTAGCAGACAAAGTGGGAATACCAAGCAGCTGTGTTTGTGGGGAATATCAAATTGCATACAATGTGATTTGCATGCAGGTTAGCAAAACAATGGTTCATAACTAACCCTTTGTCAGTGATGGTAGAGTTAGCTACATGTTCTACCAAATCTGGCCTTATAGGGTAGCAACAGAGGAGTAGAAGTGCTAAAAAATCGATGCATTGCCCTTAAGAACGAGGATGGGTCGCTACAGCCATTTCGATTCGGTAATAGGAAAAGCGAAGTGCTTAGATTGGTAATGAAAGTGATGGAGATGGGCACCCGAGAGGTTTAACGCATTGCTTTTCTGTGTTAAAACATAAACCCTAAAATGTTGTTGTTAGAGGAAAACACAGTCCAAGTTAATGCTTGATTTAATTTTTATTTTTAGGATGTGGCCGGTAAACAGAACAAGTTCGTAGTCGATTTGATGGCCCAACCTGGCGTAATGTACAATATGGACACAAAAGAGGCATTTCAATATTGCAGTATTTGATATTGTGTTTGGTGTTGTAATGCTTTGTTTTTGTGACCACCTGATGTCTGGCGACTGCTGTGAGAGGCCTCAGGCCTAGTTCTTTTGTTTTACTTCGAACACATGCATTCAACTCCATTTTATGTCCTCTTCTACCCGGTGGGAAGACTCAGGACGCAACACTAGTAGTAGCTGAAAGCAAACCCAACATTTTTAATGATTTCTGCCCTAATATGTTACATGGACCTGCGGGATAAAGGAGGTGTATTTACATCTGTGGCGAGAGAATCTGCAAATTCTTTACAACAAAAGGTTGAGAATGATGTCTGTCTTTGGCCCGCCTTGTCTTCGCTTTCTGCATATAAACTATCATTAAATTAAGCGACACCGCTATGAACCATCTAAGGAAATCTCGCTTCAGTATTTCCCCTACAAATTCAAAATGGCGTCGAAAATGGCATTACAGTTCCCCTTATATGGGGGGCCGCACCTGACTCTCTTTCATCTGCAACACATCTGTGTAAGACCAGAATACTACACCCTAGTCCTGGAGGCAATTTATGGTCAACAGATGCATACATTCTCGATTTTGACTGTCGGACCGAACGTAATTCATGTCCAGTTGAAGCTGCTGAGATGATAAAGTACCGTTCCTCAGTCTCATGATAGCTGCTGACTGGTGCGACTGGTTCTTAGGTGCTTTCTTACAGTACCAAATATGTTTTGATGGCAGGTGTCTGGCGGTTGCTTTAAGAGTCGTCTGGCCCTAGTATGCGTGGACCGGTCTTCGAGTCAAGCGCAAGACTAAAGCCTTAAAAATACATGTATTTCGCTCCACCTTATGTCTTCACCCTGTGAAAAATCTTGAGGTGCTACAATTTTTTGTAAATTTGTCAGTTAAAGCATAATGAGCATCCGCT